CCAGTGATCTCATGCCATTGAAGTGAATGTTCAATTTATTAATATTTATTGTAATAAATATTTAGGAAATATGGGAGATGCAGATGAACACAAAGCAGCATAACAACAACAACTGAAAGTTAAAGAGGGTGATGTATCCAAATAATCAAAGTTGTTATATTTTTCTTGATTTTCATATCCATCTATTCATTTATGATTTATTCTTTATTGATTTTTTATTTTGTGTTTATGCTTCTTATATTAATCCTCATCATATATTCAAATATTTACTACTCATTTATGCTTATGTTTTGTTTTGTTTGATTTATATTCAAGATGTAATATTTGTAGTATTCTCCAAGAATATGTATGTTGTACTCACATTTCATATGTGGTAGGAAGATGTATCTTCTTTACTGGTGTTTTGATAGATATTGGACATCTTTCAAATACTGCCTGAGTAATAATGTTTCTATAATAATTAGTCATTAACGATAGTAGATGTTCTTTTCCAGAAACTGTTTTTGTTATTTAAGATATGATATTTGAAAGTGCTAATTTTGCTGTATTTGTTCTAAAAGCGTGAAAACCACACATCTATTTTTAACCGCAACATTTGACTCATGATGACCTAGCCTGTCCTGACCTATAGTTGCTACAACAACATATGGCACAATGGATGAGTGACACTTTGCACTTGTTATAAATTATTGATTTAAAATGTGTTTAATTCACACTTTATCAATGTGTCATGTAATACAAAAACTTGAAACAGAAGATGCAACCCTCTCCTTATTTCCTGCATTATTGGGCATTTTTTCAACATGACAATGACTACATTCTCCCAAGGTGAAAGACCTTCTGTGGGCAAGTGTTTCACCCAACATTAACCACCTGTGGGGGATTTTGAACAGACGAGTTGAGCAACGCTCCCCATTAAAGATCAGGACATGATCTTTTTCAGAATTGTTCGTTCTATCGTCAGAGGAAAAACAATGGAAAAGTTGAAACTCCTGATTTTGGTTGACGTTTCAAGGGTTTATAATTTTACTTCAGTGACACATAATTGGACACATCATAATATATTAACATTTTGTCATGAGTTCATCTCAGATGCTGTAAACTTTGAAGTTGTGACTTTTTTTTTTTTTACCACCAAACAACCATATCTGATATCTGATTAAATCTGATATATTTATATGAATATAATTTATGAGATCAATAAATAAATTGAAGTAAATTTCTAGTCTAAAAGCCTAAATGTTTGTGGTGTTATGCCAAATAAAATACTTGAACTGTTATTCTGCTGAACAATATTTATAGCAGTATTTTTTCTCTTTAAAAATATCTAACCATAATCTGACAAAGACTTATAAGACATTTAGCCATGAAAATATATGCACCCATGTGAAATAAATAAATAAAGTCACAGATGTTTTACAGTTTAAAAAAAAAATCTAATGCAATTCGAAGTGTATAATACACACTTTACGTGTATATTATATTTATGTCCTGTAAACTGACCAATAGATGGGTGATACATATGAATGCAATAGGGGACTTTTATTTTGGCAGATGAGCAGATCTGTCTGACTGGGTTTTACCCATCACATCTTCATCACATTCGCGCATATATCATCACTGTTTTCCATCACTACCGCCACTGTCATCGCCTGTTTTTCGATTCCGGATAATTATCTGCCTCTTTACCGTAGCGTGGTTCACTATCTGTGTTTCAGCAGCAGGTAAACGTGAATAAAACACCATAAACACAAACATCAGTCACAACAATGTTAGCATGACGGCTAACGTAGCCAATTAACAAGTTCCTGCAGGGGAGGAAAAAAGTGGATTAAGTTTTGTTTAAAGACATTACAGTTCGAGCTAGTTGAGGATTTAGTTGTGTAGTCGTGGATATTTGTCATAATTGTCGTGTAATGAACCATATAGTGTTATTAAACATAATAAACTCTGAAATATGTAGTGCTAGGAGGCTAATAGAGCTCGAGGACTGCCCATTAACAAAGATTAAAAAGCGTAGTTTATTTAATAAAATGATCCGGAAACATAATAAACCTTTTATTTGAGTCAAATCACAGCTGTGGAGATGAATATATAAAGTTATCAGAAAAGTTATATGTGTTTATGCAGTTTGTTTAGGTTTGGAGATACGTGACGTGACTCTGTGCATTATATAATCTCATAAATCCCTTTTTAAAACTTTAATTTGTCTGACAAGATTCTTCTGTTTAATGATTGATTGAACTGAACAGCTATTCTAAGGTTTTTTAAATTGTTGGATCCAGTCAGATGTCATAACTAGTATAATGGACATGCGTCAAAACAGGAAACTTGATTTAATTGTAACGTTAGGTTTTGTACTATTGTAACGCTATTTTGATGTTATATGTGTCATTATGTGAGTCGCATGTGGTATAAAATGTGATCGCAAACTAAAACTGATTTTTTTACATTATAGAAATGGACAACAGCTCGACGACTTGTCCGTTTGACACACAGGTAAAAAGATTTCGATTTTGTAATTTCATACCCAGATAAGACGGGTTTTAATGTTATTTCAGATTATGCTGTCTTTTCAGTATTTTTGCATTAATATATTTTTCGATGAATCCTCCATGCACATATAATTATCATATTATTATTAATAATCATTTTCACTTAGGGGTGTACTCACTTTTGTGGCCAGCGGTTTAGACATTAATGGCTGTGTGTTGAGTTATTTTGAGGGGACAGCAAATTTGCACTGTTATACAAGCTGTACACTCACTACTTTACATTATATATATATATATATATATATATATATATATATATATATACACACACACACACTTCCGTTCAAAAGTTTGGGATCAGTAAGATTTGTAATGTCTCCTCTGCTCATCGAGGCTGCATTTATTTGATCAGAAATACAGAAGAAGAAAAAACAGTAATGTTGTGAAATATTATTGCAATTTAAAATAATGGTTTTCTATTTTAATATAGTTTAAAATGTAATTTATTCCTGTGATCAAAGCTGAATTATCAGCATCATTACTCCAGTCTTCAGTGTCACATGATCCTTCAGAAATCATTCTAATATGCTGATTTATTACAAAATCCCTTTAAGGCAAGTCATGTCACTTGGCGGCCATCTTTGAAACGCCTCTCGGGCATGCAAGTGCAGCTCCTATCACTTTGAATGGAGAAACATCAAATTCTCCAAAACCGTTCACTAAGCTTACGATTAAATTTTATATTTGAAATCACCAATGAAATCTGACAACAACTGTGTCATAAATGTTGTTTATTTTGCTCAAATAACGTTATAAAAAGCGTATTTTTCAGGCTAGATCAGCCGGTGCGCAGTCCTGAGTGCATATCTCAGAGCGCTGACTGTTTCTATAGCAACCGGGACTTCAGACTTTACCGATTAGCGATTGGCTCTTTCATTCAGAAGGCGGGGCTTCCTGCGATTGAGTGGCCATATTAAGCGTTGCATTTTTCCCATTCAAAACTATACGAGTTACACGTCTTGGGTATTCTATAGTCTTTGTAATCCATGTTGGAAACATTTTTGCTGCTTCATATTTTTTTGGGAACCTGTGATACTTTTTTTCAAAATAGAAATCTTTTGTAACAATATACACTACAGTTCAAAAGTTTGGGGGCAGTAATTTTTTTTTCTTTTTTTTTTTTTGAAAGAAATGAAAAGAATACTTTTATTCAGCAAGGATGTGTTAAATTGATAAAAAGTGATAATAAAGACTTTATATTGTTTATAAATATTGTTTATACTTTATATTGACTTTATATTGTTAGAAAAGATTTCTATTTTAAATAAATGCTGTTCTTTTTAACTTTATTCATCAAATAATCCTGAAAAAAGTGTCACAGGTTCCAAAAAAATAAAAATTAAGCATCACAACTGTTTCCAACATTGATAAGAAATCAGCATATTAGAATGATTTCTGAAGGATGATGTGACACTGAAGACTGGAGTAATGATGCTGAACATTCAGCTTTCCATAACAGAAATAAATTATATTTTAAAGTATATTAAAATAGAAAATCATTATTTTAAATGGTAATAATATTTTACAATATTACTGCTTTTTTCTGTATTTTTGTTCAAATAAATGCAGCTTTGTTGAACAGAAGAAACTTCTTTAAAACACATAAAAAATCTTATACTTTTGAACAGCAGTGTGTGTATATATATATATATATATATATATATATATAAGCAATTCAAACAATCAAATTATCAAATAGAATTTAATAAAATAATTTGAAGAAATATAAAACTATTGATGATTTTGTATGTAGAATATATATTTTTTGCATTATTTGTTTGTTTCGATTCTCTGATTGGCAGATTTTTTTGAGGGGCAGAATCAAGGGTAATGTAGTTTTTCACCAGGTATTCTGCTATTAAACATGATTATTTAAAAATTAAGTTTTGCAGCCTGATGACTTAAACATATACCATTGATTAACAACCTTGTGAAGTCAATAAGTAAACTGTTCTGTGTTGATTCTCCTGTAAACACTTTCAAAACAAACAAGCAACAGTGACTCAACCAATGGCATGTGTTTAGGGTGGGACTACCTGTTTAAAAGCAGTCATTAGTTTTATTATTATTTTTTTTAATCCATTTGATAAGTGGTCTCGAAATTATACGCATTAACTAATGTAATCCTGAGTTGTTTTGTTCCATGTTTCACACTTTCATACTTTACCCTTGGTTTAAATTGACTGAAATGCATGATGGTCATTTATATTTATTGAGGGATACATTGCTTCGTTTTTGTTTGGCATAACAACATCTGGCACTGCAGTTTGGTCATAATCTAATGTTAAAAGTGGTGTTATTCCTTTTCAAAAAATGAAATGGTCCTTTAAAAAGACACTAACCTTTAAAAAGATGAAAATAGTAACTTTAACAGTTTTTTTATGCCATTATTGATTTTGTTTTTATTGCAGGGCTACAGTTCAACATTTACGCGGAAACGGACAGTGGAAGATTTCAACAAGTTCTGCACTTTTGTGCTTGCATATGCCGGTTATATTCCTTATCCACAGGAGGTGAGTATTATCTTGTCTTAGTGATGTAACTGAGAGGAGATTGTGGTAAAAATGCTACTCACTGTGCTTGTACATTTGATAGAAAGTGCTGCAGGGTGAAGCGGCCTTGCTTTCCTCAAGATCGCTCTGACACTTCAACCTCCAGAGGTTCCTATCCTTGGCAGTGTTGTAGCACTGGGTGTTCATGGGAATTTTGTTTTCTTTGGGTTTTTTTTTGGTGGCATGCCTCTTATGAGCTGCTTTGCTGCTGACGCTCTTGTTTAATCCACAGAAATGGTGGTGGCTCTTATGTCATGGCCGCTGAGAGACATCCCCCCTCCAAAAAAACCTCAGCCCTCCCTCCCAGGGTAAGAGGGCCACTCCAGTCTCCTCCATTCTCATCTCAGACCCTGTCTCTAAGTGCCATTCTTCACAACAGCAGTGTGTGTACATCCACAAACACTTCAGTTTCAGGTCTTCCCTTTAATGGATCCTTCAAATGGATGGAGGCTAAATCAAGGAAACTCTGTTGCAGGGAGATGCATGGGGACCGATAATGGCCCCAAGTGTTCCAAAACCCAGTGAGCTGCCTTCTAAGGGCCAAAGTATACTTCGGTTTTTACGCAAGGGTCCGCGTACAGTGCGCATAATGCAAATTTCGTCACCAGAATGGTATGTGCGTACTGTACTCAGCCCTCCCTCCCAGGGTAAGAGGGCCACTCCAGTCTCCTCCATTCTCATCTCAGACCCTGTCTCTAAGTGCCATTCTTCACAACAGCAGTGTGTGTACATCCACAAACACTTCAGTTTCAGGTCTTCCCTTTAATGGATCCTTCAAATGGATGGAGGCTAAATCAAGGAAACTCTGTTGCAGGGAGATGCATGGGGACCGATAATGGCCCCAAGTGTTCCAAAACCCAGTGAGCTGCCTTCTAAGGGCCAAAGTATACTTCGGTTTTTACGCAAGGGTCCGCGTACAGTGCGCATAATGCAAATTTCGTCACCAGAATGGTATGTGCACAGTTTGCACATGTGCATTGACTTGGTCTTGCACTAATTAGTTGTTCCACAAGGTGGCAACACTGTCCCGGGCCATTGTTTCACAATAGAAAACGAAACTAAAGAGACAGAACAACAACAAAATAGCGGAGACTGCAACAACAACAGACACCCGCATTGACAAGAGCTTGGGGGAGAGGGTTGTGAGATAGCTGCAACTTTAGTTTAAAAGAGTACAAAGCTTTCTGACAAGATGCGCATTAAATATCGCATGCGATTTATCGTGCAGCCCTAATTTTTATCAGTCATCACTTCTGGAGAAAAATGGAGCAGACGCTGGACAAAGATCAAGCTCTCTAGAGCGCATGTGTCGACCACCTGTGTTTGAGTACACCTCAAATGGAGTATATTTTGAAAGGCTATGCGTTCAGCTGTAACGAAGTACACTTTGGGCTTACGGGAACATCCTAACTGCTAACATAAAGCACATGCTACACTCAGCTCTCAACTGACACTGACATGTTGGTTAGATGATAATAAAATTTGGGTGTATATAAAAACAATTGGGTAAAATAGTCAGTTTTGGGTGCCAAATAGTCAGTGCAGATAAATGACGATACACTAACATGGTCGCACCCAAGATGTTCAGGTTAATGATAAACATTTACTTTTAAGCAAATAAAAAGCATTGGAGAGTCAAACTTCCTATGTATTATGATAATTAAACCAGTTTTTTGGGAGGGATAAGTATTTAAAAGCCTGGTCAAGTCACCTTTAATTATATAGTGTTTTATACAATGCAGATTGTTTCACAGCAGCTTCACTGGAAAATAACAGAATCTATATATATGAGTCAAATTCTGCTATAAAGCAGCTCTAAATAGACAGTAGTGTCACTATTCAGCTCATGTCAGTTCAGTGTTGATTCAGTTCAATAACTAAAGTTCATCAGTTATGAATCGAGTTCAATTTCAGACAATTGCTATTCAGCTCAAGTCAGTTCAGTGTTGATTCAATTTAGTGATCTGTACTGGAATAAAACTCAGTTTTTTGTTTTTTTTTGACAATCAAACACAGACAGAATGGTACAGTTGTAAATTTGGTTTCCACGTTGTCATCTGAGCATTGGGCATCACAAAAATTTACGGTTGGAAGTTGGCGATATTTAATAGAAATCTCCCACTTTATTGAGCTTGTTGCAATGCATTTCTGGGACTGCCTTCTTTCTGAAGATATCTTGTTCTTGAAAAAGCCTTCACATCAACAGATGCCTGTTGTCTAAAATGATGTCTAGGTAGGCAGCTCACTATGTTTTGGAACAGCTAGTGCTTTCATAATGTGTTTTCATCTCCTTTCAGCGTATTTAGATGTTTTCAGAAAGATCATTTGATTATCTAATTCCTCTAATTCAGTCTCACATTATTATTTATTTGCTTACTACTTGCTTTGTTTCCACAGGCTACTGAGCACAGAGGAGACATAGGCCTTCATAGCGCATGAATAATGATGGCTTTAATAACTAAGAAACAAACAGTAAATGAGGGTATAAACAAAAGTAAGGGTAGACAGAGATGGACCCGTGAGAAATGCACCAAAATAATCGACCATTGATGTGGGATCCATGTGCATCTGAGCTCATTAGTCGTGACTAAGAAAGCTGATTACGGTTTGGCAGCAAAATGAGGGGGAGGTTTTGAGTTCTCTGAACATACAGCGGAAGTTCATAAACCTGACATTTGTGTGCCTTATTTTTACAGAGTGCGGGTTCATTGTGCAGACGCTTGCATTTCTGAGGACCAGTAATTTGTTTCTCTTAGGTGGTAGCTCTTAATTTTAGGAGTGACTCTACAAGAGCTTTGCTTGGCACTTTGCTTCTCTTACCCTGGTTTGTAATAGTCACTTTGTGCTGGTGTTCATGTTTTTTAAGTATTGGTAATCCTGTGTTTTACTTGGTGATTCGGGTAATTGTTTGGTGCTTAGTGCTTCTTGTCACTGAACTGGTCATTGATCTAATCAAAAAAATTGGCTGGAAATTTTCATGATTGCATGTTCTTACATTTTAGCCTTTATCATACTCAAAAAATATCTAAATCCAGCACTGCTGAACTTGCATCATTATTAGCAATATTACAGTCAGTTCACCTACCTCAGACTTGACTGAAATGTTTGTAATAAAATTTCATAATGATGCAAGTGTGAGTAGTGTGCGGGATTTAGACATATTTTCAAGTTTATACTGAACTTTTATTCCATGCACCTATGAATGATTCAGGTGCGCAAGGAACTATATTTTCTATTTAGCCTTTCTCATACTGCCAAATGTGAAATGTTCCATCTTAGAGATCTTTATTTAATGCAAGTAGGCATTTTCATCTTGCGCCAGTGTGGTCTGCATTTCTTGTCATTATAAATATTGCACCATAACCAGCAGGATTCGTGGGTGTGGATGATTTTCTGTTTATTAATTTCATCATAAATCTTCTTGAAACATGCAGTGAAGTTATTCGGTCACTGTTTGTTCATCTTCAGACTTCAGACCGATGTCTTAATTCAAGAAATTCAGTAAAATAGTGGTTAAATGAGTGTTTCCAATCGCTCTCCACAGGAGGCGCACTTGAGGAGCAGCTCTAGTCCTCTAAACAGCACCGGCAGCACTGCAGACAGCGACGGATGGGAGAACCAGAGGCTGGGCTGCGGCCTCTTGTCTCCGGACGAGCCCCCTCCCAAAAACCGCAAGAGCTTCGCTGGATTCAAAAGACCCACGAGCGAGGATTCAGAGCCTCAGAAGCGTTCGAAATCAGCAGGTCTTCTGCTGGAGGGTCGAACGAAGGCCGACAAGGTGAAAAAGAAGAAGAAGAAGCTGAGAAAGAATGAGGAATTGAGATCTTTCGCCCCATTTACTCCTCCCAGTGCCGAAGGTGAGATCTCCAATTATGGATGTACCATTAAAGAAGAACCGGAAGATTACCTCAGCATCCCCGTACCCACCGCTGGCATGGGTGGAGACCTGCCAAAGCACACTGGCACGTGTTCAAAACCTGCCTCGGGTTCACTGGCCACCGCAATGTGCAAAGAGGAGCCTGATGTGGGCCGTCCTTGCTGGAACGGTTCTAAAAGTTCAAGTCCAAAGTCGGAGGATGTCGAGAAACCCTTACAAACTCAAGAAGAGGCAGTAGTCTCGAAGGTAGAAGGTTTTTCTGGTAAAAGGACTGTGGTCCATCAGGGGAAACAGGTGGTGTTTAGAGATGAGGATGGATCGGAGGATGATGAGGACATCATGGTGGATTCAGGTAAGCAGGACGTTTCAGGCCCTGATAACTTCAACACGAAGTTTCGTTTTCAACCTGGAGTGGTAGTTTGAAGGTGTTTACCAGCCAGAGCGAACTTTTCTGGAAAGTTCCATTTGGCAAGCTGATTTGGATGGAAGCTTGTTTCTGCCATGAATTTAAAAAAATAAAAGGCCCTGATAACTTCAACACGAAGTTTCGTTTTCAACCTGGAGTGGTAGTTTGAAGGTGTTTACCAGCCAGAGCGAACTTTTCTGGAAAGTTCCATTTGGCAAGCTGATTTGGATGGAAGCTTGTTTCTGCCATGAATTAAAAAAAATAAAAAAAGTAATTGCGATCTCATAGTTATGTCCTTTTTCACGCAATTATGAGTTTATAATCTCGAGTTTATAACTTTTTTCTCAGAATTGCGAGTTATAAACAATGCAATTGCGTGTTGCCATCTCACAGTTCTGTTTTATTTCTTGAATTATAAACTTGCAATTGTGAGTTTACATCTTGCAATTCTGTTTTGTGTTTCTGACATGGAATAAATAAAAGTAATAAACTTGTAATTGCGAATTTACATCTTGCAATTCTGCCGTGGAATAAAAAAATTGATAAAGGTAATTGCAACTTTTTATCTCACAATTGACTTTTTTTTTCTTGCGATTGTGAATTTATATCTCACATTTTTTTGCTTTTTTTCTCAGAATTGCGAGTTTATATCTTGTAATAGCAAGTTATTCGAGTAAATTGTGAGTTTACATCTTGCAATTCTGTTTTTTGGTGTCGCCATGGAATAAAAAAAGGTAATTGTGACTATCTTGTAATTCTGACTTTTTTCTCAGAACTGCAAGAACAAATATCAGAATTGTGAGATATAAACTCTGAATTGCAATTTTTTATATATATTTATCCTGTGGCGGAAACGAGCTTCCATAGATTCTGACTCCAGACAAACTCCATTTTGTTCGAAATTACGTCACCTCAGTTTGTTCTTCGCTTGAAGTCTTTCCTTTTGGAGTCTGCCATTGTCAAAAGTAGATTACAATTGTATTCATATATCTTTACATTTACCGTCTTTCTCTTTGCAGATGATGACTCCTGGGACCTAGTGACATGTTTCTGCATGAAGCCGTTCGCCGGGCGGGCAATGATCGAATGCAACCAGTGCAACACCTGGATCCACCTCTCATGTGCCAAAATCCGCAAGTCCAACGTCCCTGAGACGTACATCTGCCAGAGCTGCAAAGACTCAAAGTTGGACATTCGCCGCTCCAATCGCTCAAGAGTGGGCTCTCGAAAACACCTTCTCGACTGATGCCGCTCTTCTCCTTCTGCCCATCCACATGTACAGAAACTCATAAAATTGTCGTCTTGAAGACAAGACTCAATGAGTTCGGAAGAGGAAGGAATCAGTGACCTGCTTACATCACTTTTTTTTGTTTGTGTTTTTAATATTTCTCACCTTCCTAAATGTTTGCGTCAATCAATCAATACTAGGATGATGCATTAACTGGAGCAGATTTCTGCCGGACAGACGGACAGTTGCAGTTATGATGGTACACAGCTGAAGGTTAGACACATTCGGAGTTGTGCTGGAAAGAAGGGACTGGGGTGTCGGATTGCACTTTTTTAAGAACAAAGGGGTAGCTAGAGATTCCCCTTTGTACCCATAGCTTTCAAAAGCATGTCTATTAGTCAAAGTATGTATATTATATGAAATAAGATATTAGTGTTCAAGGTGTTTAGACTCATCATTTTGTGTGGATCTTTTCTGAGACCCCCAAATGTGTATGAGGGAAAGCGTTCTGTTTGTTGGATAATGTTGAACGTGTTTTCATCAGCAGTCACTGATGATTTGGAGTGAAACATCAGAAACAGTTCTTGCTACATTGTGGTATTTCTTGATTATTATTTTTAATTTTTGGCAACAAATTGGTGGTAAGAGACTGTGTGTCATTTCTATTTTTTGATTTATAAATTCTGATAATTTCTGCATTTTCTGCCCTTCATTGAACAAGAAACTTTTTGTTTGCATGTTGTAATGTTTTACTAAACAGGATGATATTTTTTGTCATTTTTTTTTCTCCAAGAAGATGTTTAATATGTTAATTATGTAAATTATGTGAGTCATTACAGGTTAGGGAAGGGATGGATATCCTTACTGGGTGAATCTCAGAATCTCACAAAAACATATCCAGGTCACATTTTACCCCATAAGTTATATATATATATTCCCCATTATTCTCTGTGGTGATTCTATTTATATTGTCATTTCTGAAAGAAATAATGTTAATTATGTAAATTATGTGAGTCATTACAGGTTAGGGAAGGGATGGATATCCTTACTGGGTGAATCTCAGAATCTCACAAAAACATATCCAGGTCACATTTTACCCCATAAGTTATATATATATATTCCCCATTATTCTCTGTGGTGATTCTATTTATATTGTCATTTCTGAAAGAAAGAATTTAGCTTTTAATTTTCTTGGGAAAATAGTAATAATGCACATTTTGTGGAAAAATATCACTTTGTCATGTTCTTGTCAGGTTTTGTGAGATACTCTGTATTGCCAAAGGGAAGAACATTTTTGCCTGCATATGCTGAAATGCCATGGCTTACTTAGTAGTAGTCATATTTACATGCAACACACTGAACTACAAATCTTGGGGTTTCAGAACTTGCTGGCGGAGCTTGTATTCGGAGGAATCATTCATAAGCGTGTAATTCTTGTTAACCACTGTGACCGGTTTAACCTGGTTAATAATCGATGAGTCTGTTTTCATGTTCATAGGCATGCTCTGATAAAAATGTGTGATTGTGTTCTATTAGCTGGTCCACTCCCATCACAAAAAGCATAGGTTTGTTTCTTGAAGACATTTTGTTTGTTTTTTTTAATCTCATGTGAGTTGGTTTTCATCTTCAGAATGTACTGTTCTTTTAGATGAGATAAACACTGCAGAGAAGATAAATTAATTGGCACATTTAATATGAATATTTTGTTATGTTAGCTTTCCACTTTCACTATTCTGCATGCTTGACCATAAATCCCTTTTTTTTTGGTTAAGCCATACAAATTTGGTCCATATTTCCGAAGTAAATCCCTTTAGTCTATGTTTTATATATATATATATATATATATATGACCAATAATGCTGATAGTTCATAAAAAAAACTGATACTTTTTGATACTGGCCTGGTCTTTTTTTCTTCTGATGAGTCAGTGGACAGTTTCCACAATGATTTTTATTTTTTTTATGCACATTAAAACTGGATATCCTTTAAACTCTTACTTTGAAAACATTTTGTCTTCCTCTCAAAGGACATTTTGGAAAGGTGTCATTTGTAGGCCTAGATTGAACACGCTAGCTTTTCATTGTTTTGTGGAAAAAAGTGTTACTTGTAAATTGAATAGCTTATGTTGATGCTTTCTTCTTCTTTTTTAAACATTTATCAAGGGATCATGGATGGTGGTTCTGTACATTTTTTGTACAATCATAATGTGTTTATGTACTATAGCTGATATTTCAGGGCTGTTTGTGTGCAAGAAGAACTGCTAAAGTTTGAGCTCGCGCTGTTACAGTGAGTCCAATGAAAAGAAAGAGAGATGTTTCTGTGAAACTTCATGTAAACCGTTGTAAATAAAGAGATGATGATTTTAATGACAATTCAAGAGTCATAAACTTCTTGTTTCATTCATATATATATATATACACACACATTAGGGCTGTCATCGTTAACGCATGCGCTTAACGTGTTAAAATAATTTAACGCAATTAACGCAAATAAATTACTGAAGCACGTGAAACTGCGTCATCAACGTAATTTACGTCACGCAGTTCGATGATCTTGGAAGTCCGGAGTTAATCACTGAGCGTCTACAATGGCGCAAGCACATGTTACCTGGTAAGCGGAAATTTCTATTCTAACCCTTTTACCCGATTTCGCTTTTCTGTTTGCGATCAGAGCCTTTTAAACCGCTAAAGATAGTTTTCAGTCCAACGAGCCAGTAAGCGAATGCATTCAAACAATCAGTCCAAAACAGCGTTAATATAAAGAAAACAGGTTGATGACATTAGAGATTGCAGAGAGAATAGAGACTTAAGTCGCGTTGTCAGTGAATTATTTCTTTGAAAACATTTTGTCTTCCTCTCAAAGGACATTTTGGAAAGGTGTCATTTGTAGGGCTAGATTGAACACGCTAGCTTTTCATTGTTTTGTGGAAAAAAGTGTTACTTGTAAATTGAATAGCTTATGTTGATGCTTTCTTCTTCTTTTTTAAACATTTATCAAGGGATCATGGATGGTGGTTCTGTACATTTTTTGTACAATCATAATGTGTTTATGTACTATAGCTGATATTTCAGGGCTGTTTGTGTGCAAGAAGAACTGCTAAAGTTTGAGCTCGCGCTGTTACAGTGAGTCCAATGAAAAGAAAGAGAGATGTTTCTGTGAAACTTCATGTAAACCGTTGTAAATAAAGAGATGATGATTTTAATGACAATTCAAGAGTCATAAACTTCTTGTTTCATTCATATATATATATATACACACACATTAGGGCTGTCATCGTTAACGCATGCGCTTAACGTGTTAAAATAATTTAACGCAATTAACGCAAATAAATTACTGAAGCACGTGAAACTGCGTCATCAACGTAATTTACGTCACGCAGTTCGATGATCTTGGAAGTCCGGAGTTAATCACTGAGCGTCTACAATGGCGCAAGCACATGTTACCTGGTAAGCGGAAATTTCTATTCTAACCCTTTTACCCGATTTCGCTTTTCTGTTTGCGATCAGAGCCTTTTAAACCGCTAAAGATAGTTTTCAGTCCAACGAGCCAGTAAGCGAATGCATTCAAACAATCAGTCCAAAACAGCGTTAATATAAAGAAAACAGGTTGATGACATTAGAGATTGCAGAGAGAATAGAGACTTAAGTCGCGTTGTCAGTGAATTATTAATTGCAGGGTGGGGTTTCGCTTTAAAGCACGACCCCCTTATATTCTTTGATTTTACTTTGCTGGACATAGCAAATGATGACAAAACGAACGTGTTAAACAAGGTAAACACACACCAAATACACAAAATAATGATCTTTAAAAAAGCATCATATGACCCCTTTAACATAAAATCCATTAAACATTACATAACACCAGGGTTTCCCAAATTGGGGTTAATGTAAGAACGGCAGTGGGTTTGTGAGTTAATAAGCAAATAATGAAATCATAAAAATTTAAAAATAAAAATAATTTGAACACTAAAAAATATATTTTATTCGTTTACCTGCCTGTCAATGTGGCCATTAACCAACATCAGAGAACTGTAAACATGCAAATATGTTGGTAAATTATTTGAAATATTAACTTCCTCGGAGACATTTCGAGTACATTTTATTTTAAGGGGTTTGGCTGGCAAAACGTTTGCAAATCCCTAAATTATATGAAAAAAACATTAATAAACATGAAAACATTAAAAATTTAAAACGCAACTAAAAAGAATTAGGAAGAATCATTAAATTATAAGTAATGTTACTGCCATTGTATGAATAATAAGTAAGCATGTAATCGATAAAAAAACGTTAACTGTAATCTGTTTATGAGCATTTTAAAATGTAATATACTCTAATTACAAGTACTTAATTTTTGGAATCTGATTGCATAATCCAGATTGCATGTGTTTATATATAACTAAAGACCGCTGAAGAGATCAGATGAAGTGTAGGTGTCTTCACTTTTTATTTAAATTATTCTTCAGGTTGACTACATTAATACATTTTATAATGTTTTGCATCAGATAGGAATGCAACACCAGTTTCTTTCAGAGTTGCAAAATGTGGCTTGAACAAGCCATTTACATGAACATGAAGTATGCTAAAACATGCAGGGTAAAATGACAGTACTGATTACAAACCAGAGAATGTTTAAAGGCCGTTTTTTTAAACACACCAAAATGATGCCCTGGCCTGTCAATAGTTCATGTATTTAACACTGACCAAGGATTCTGGGAGGTTCAGACTGTTTTTGACTATACTAAATGCGAAGATTATTGTTGATACTCCAACAACAAAATGAATTTGCTGTTTAAATGTCTC